AAATTAACTACTATTTTTTTTTAAAAAAAGCAATAAAAAAATCATGTCAAATTGTTATTGTCTTATTAACAAGAAAAATGATTGTATAAAAAAAAATCAGCTACCATTAAATAAATGTGAATGTATTATGAATTATTATATATGAATTCAGATCTAATTAAGCCCTTTATAATTTAATTTATTGAACAATTTTAATTAACATTTTCTCATGCTTGCACGATTACATATTTATAATCTGTAATCGCGATCTTAAGTAGTAATGGAACTTTATAGCCGGACAAGAATTTAACTACTATTTATTTTTTTTCAGTAGAAACAGAAGTTTCAGCAAGACAAAATGTGTTTTGAATTTAAAAAATCTGTAGAAAATTCAGTTTTTTAACCACCGAGGATAATTTTGATTTTTTTTTTTCAATTAAAAAAGGGTTTAATTTAATTTATTAATTAAATACTATTTAATAAAAAATTATTTATTGAATAATAAATAAATATTATTTATTTATTAAATATAATTTAATTATTAAATATTATTTAATTTATTTTCTATAAATTTATGTTATTTATTTTCTATAAATTTATTTTAATTATTTAATTTTACCTTATTTTTAAAAAATTATAATACATTTTTAATTGTGTTTTTTTATTTCTTTTTAATTAATAAAAATAACAAATTGTTCCCGGTGGTCGAAAAACTAATTTTTACATCAAAATTAAAAGGACGTTAACGAAATTATTAATTGAATAACGATCCAGTTAAAATTAAAATTAAATAGAAAATAATTATAATAAAATAAAAATATAAAGTAAAAAATTATCAATATGAAAATAAAAAATAAAGTAAAATAAAGTAACGAAAAATAAATTAAAAATGAATTAAAAATAAAATAAAAATAGAATAAAAAAAAGTAACAAAAAAAGTAAAAATAAAATAAAAATAGAATAAAAAAGTAACAATAAAAGTAAAAAAATAAAAACGACAAAAAAGGAAATATGTACAGAGAGGCGTTATAAAAAAGAGAATCATTAGAAACTCGAGTATTAATTTCTCCATCTACATATATTGCAATTACCTTCTTTCTTTCGTTTTTTTTTCTTTTCTTTTCTTTTTTTTTGCAAGCAAAAATTTATAGTTAATTAACCCGCGCAGCGAAATCTAATTTTAAGTAAACAACTATAAAATTACTTTCAAAGTGTGTTCATATTTACTTTCCACTAAAGAAATTAAATATATATAAACAAAATTGTGCGTCCAAAGTATAATTAATTATCGTTCAACTTCAGTGCGTTGGTTTACACGACATCCTCGCTCATTTGATGCGATAAAATTATCATCTACGCGCGCGCATTTCACTGATATATATATATACATATAGTCAAATATCGAAAGTACTCCTCTATTTTCGACGCATGGAAAATTCCACTTTCATTACAACAGTCATAATTAAAGAAAAAAAAAAAACTGTAAATTATTCGATTCAAATAAAAAAAAAAAAAAAAATGTTTTTTTCCAAGTATTTTTTTTTTAAATAATTATAAATTGGAACATATAAATTTATAGTCACTAACAACATAAATTTAATTAAAGAATTAAAACCAGTTTTCTTGAAAATCTCAGTATTTCCAGGAAAAGATTATAATTCATTTACTGCGCGCGCTCACATACACACTATAAAAATGAGACACATAATTATCTTGTTTTGTGTTATAAGTCAAGAGATTTGTGTGCAGTCACTTCTCTCTTTTTCTCTCTCAAAACGAATATAATTGCAAGAGAAATCGTCCAACATTGTTGGAAGGTTAAAGTTGGCTAACGTTCAAGAAAAGGAATTTTTTTTTTTATGAAGAAATGGAAGAAAGAAAGAGAGAGAGAGAGAATCTTTGCCGACTATCAAGAAGAAAAATTAACAATTGAAATGAAATTCAAATTCAAGATTGAAGAGACACAAACGAATATAAGCGGATTTAACCCCGACCCAACAATGTTAAGGTTACATCGGTATATATATATTCAGGGGGATTCCCCATCGGCCCCTAAACCACAAAGCCAACCTTCCTACATCCGATTAATAATACATTTGATGAATATTTTTTTAATACTCTTGTAATACACTGAATAAAAATTTATTTGATTCAAATAATCGATTATTTTACTATTATTAAATATTTACTTGTACCAAATAATTTGTATTTTAATTAAATACCTTGCTGCAGTTAATCGTTTATAATCAACGATTTTTTTCAGAAATATTTTTTTAAATAAAAAATTCTATTAATTTTCGTCTAAAAAATTCTAGATTCAAAACTTTTATTCTATTAAAGAAATTAATTTAAATTCTAAATAAAAAAAAGAGTTAATTTTTTCGTTAACTTTCAAATATCATTTCACATAAAAAAAAAATATTTATTTTTATATTAATCTCCATTGAGGTAGAAATTCAGTTTTGTATACAATTTTTCATCATATTAAAAATCACTTTGTCCTCGAAAGCTCGATTAAATTTCAATGAATCCTCACTTCTATTCAAATCAATTTATTGGTTAAAAATTGAAATTTAACCTCTCTAGTATTTTGTTTGTTGTTTTTTTTTCATTAAAATTTTATTAACGATATATATATATATACAAAATTTACTCTCAAAACGTCTTTTGAATGAAGAAATAAAAGAAAGTTTTATACGTTATCTTAGCCCTCGAATCTAATTCACTGGATATTTTTTTACGCTTGCCCACTTTAAATTGCTCTCATTATCTTTACAAGTAACGTGAATAATATAGATTGACGAATTGTTGAAAAAAAAGAAAAATTTCCAAGAAACAAAAATACCGTAACGGATTTTTTTTTTATTCTACATTTTATTATTCTCTCAACTCATTATTATTCCTTAGCTATATTATTATTATTATTATATTGTAATTGGAATATTATTTACCTACTTTATACAATTTTATGTAAGTTTATTTAAAAAACTATTAGCAAAGAATTTAATAAGACAAAAATTTTTTCTTCTGAAATATAAAAATTTACAGTTTTTATTGTGATAATGGCTCTACTGTGATTTAATAAAAAAAATTCTTAAAACATTAAAATATATTTAATTCAAATAATCGATTACTTAACTATTAACAAATATTTACCTGAACCAAATAATTTTTATTTGAATTAAATAGAATTTGAATCAATAATTTCTGTATTTGAAACAATCCGTGCAGAAATTTTTCCAGGGTCCAGATCGGGGCCTAATCAGGCTGCCCTATTAGGGAATGAAACGCCGCGGGCCCTAGTAGGGCAATTTCTACACGGGAAATTTAATTGCCTCAAATAATAATTTATTCGTTCTAGTAAGTATTTATTTGATTATTAGAAAACAAATTATTTTTTAAAACAGAAAATTATAAAACTTCTAAAAAATATTTTTCATAATTTTTTTTATTAATAAACATTGCAAAAATTATTATTCAGTCGAAAATTCATAGAATTTTTTCATTTAAAAAAAAGGTCTTCAAAAATCTACACTGAGAAAGAAAATTTAGTGTGTGCAGTAAAATTGTTTGATTATAGGCAATTTTGGTTCTTGTAACCAAATTTTGGTTGGCTGAAACCTACCTAGTCGTAGAGTTATCTCAACCAAACATTTGGTTAGGCCAACAAAATTATTTTGTTGAACATTTTTAAATTCCAACCAAAATTTGATTACGACAACAAAATAATTTGGTTAACACAACAAAATAGTTTGTTCTAAAAAACCAAATGATCGTTTGTTGTCCTAACCAAAATTTGGTTGCGACAACCAAATAATTTGATTCGCTCTCAGCTCATAGCTTAAGAGAATAGTTAAATGAATAAAAAGGATAAAAAGAAAAGAGATAAGGTAGAATAAAATTTTTAATTTTACAAAAAAAAAAACTGTTTGTTTGATCAACCAAACATTTTTGTTGACCTAACGAAAAAAATTTGGTTGGGCTAACCAAACATTTTTGTTATGCCAACAAAAAACACTCAACCAAATTTTTTTGGTTGACTCAAACAAATAGTTTGGTTGCTTAAATATCAACAAAATTTTTTTGTCGGCCCAACCAAATTTTGGTTGCTCTGACTAAACATTTTTCTCAGTGTATTATTATAAAATTTTCTATTATCTAAATTATCAAAAAAATGTATTAAAATTATAGAAAGTAAATCGAATTAAAAAAAAAAATAAACATATATTTTCAATAAGTTATATTGCAAATTCACCAAGTTACTTATATACGTCTCTAACGGTACAAAAAGAGGCGAACAAGTATCAAATGATAATGTTCCAATTGAATCGCGAATAATCAGGTGAACCGGTCCGTGGGACAAACCGAATAACCTGAGGACCCGTATTTTCCATGGTTAACCGTTATAAACGCAGGTGTGCATGCTCTTATCTGTCAAGATGCGAAGGTGAGGTGTGTAATCAACGAGAGCGATAGAAAATGGACGCATATATATACAAACTAACCTCGATTTTGCGCCAATGTGTGGGCGAATGATTCTACAAGTGCAGAACTGAGAATGACTTCCGGGCCATCGACGGCTCGTCCAATTTCGAATTAATTACTAACAAACGCCTCAACCTATCTATGGGCTAATTGGCACGCTAATTGCTATCGTTGATGCGTGAACGCCCCTAGCACCACGCGGTTACGAAGATTGAAGTCGCGAACCTTCCATTAAAGAGACGTCATATTGCAAATTCTAATAATTATAAACTCCTAACATATATATAAATTTTATACCTTTTTTTATATATATATATTGAAACTTGCAATTAGAAAGGAGCTTCGCGCGGAGGTGTTGGTAATATATTGCAGAGATGAATTTCCGGCATCCACCAACAGTTACTTAATTATTTTACATATATCGTATTCGATACAATGAATACAATAGATTTCATAAAATATATAGAGTCAATTATTATCTTATTACACAAAAGAATATCTTAATATTTAATAAAAAAAAAAAAAAAATTACTCACGTGTTCACTGGACGTTTCCAACTTTCATAACTGAAACAAAAAAAAAATTAGGAAAATTAATTTTTTTTTCCTCTTTTTTTTCTAAGAATTGCGAATCGCTGGAAGAAAATGGCAACATTGCTGCCTATTTTCGGAAGTTCCCGTTTTACGTTAATGGACTTGGAATGCAGTTTAACCTGAACTTGTCGCGACATTAAAAAAAAAGTCATGCAACCCTTTTCTTCTTATATAAATCGCAAATGTTTTTGTACATTTTTCCAAGTCTCTTAAAGAATTAAATTTTAGAAAAAGAATATAATATTTATAAAATTATACCTTTGTAACAAATAGATTTTAGATGAGAAGATCACATAATGAAGAAAATCAACACTGGAAACCGCGTTTTTAAATTATATGAAATACTTTAGCTAACAGATTTAAGCGATCGCGATTTTAAAAATTTCGTACACTCCCGGAACAAAAAAATTTACTACATAACAAAAAAACAAATACTTTTAAATTTGTTCGCGAATTAAAAGAACACTCCCGAAGCTATTCACTTTGAATGAGAAAATATTAAATAAAAAATTATACAGCACAAATTTTAAAATCGACTGTCTAAACGGGTTTAAACAGGTAGCTGATTTTATTATCTTTGATATTTCCTTTGTTATGACCTTTAATTTAAGGTGCTCTTTGTACTTCAATGTAAACATCAAGCTCGGAATGCAGGTATAAAGGTAATAAAATTCCAAATGCTTGGAAATTTTAATTCATTAAAATTATTTCACTAATTAAATTATCATTTGGATTTTCAAAATATAAGTGACAAAAGGTCATTGTAGGATAAACAAAATTAGCGCAAGATGATCCGTTCGTGATTTTGGTACGTTTTTAATTAAATATAATGGATGGTATACTCTAAAAGTTATTCACTGACTTCAAATCAGTAAAATTTTCACTGATTCAGATTTAGGGTGTAGTAGTATAATCTGTAAAAAGAATGTACCAAAATAGTACCGATTTTAGATATATCAAAATAGAACCAAATGACAATTGAACCGAAGGATCGTAGAAGGGCATATGGGCCATGCTAAATACATTCACAGAAAATTAAAAGGCATTAAAATAAGCTGCAACGCTTATTATTTTAATCCAATTTTGCTTATTTTAATCCATTTTGGTATTAAAATAAGCAAAATTGGATTGAAATAATAAGCGTTGCAGCTTATTTTAATGCCTTTTAATTTTCTGTGTTGCGTATATGCCCTTCTACGATCCGTTGGTTCAATTTAGTACCTAATTCGGTATAAAATTAATACCTTCGTTTTACAGTGTAGTAGTACGTTTGCGCTTAGATGAAAAATACGTATTTTTCAAAAGATTTAGAATTTGATTTTGAATTCCCTATTTTCTCCGTTCATGGTGATCGCAGCTCATCACAAAGACGGAATTAGTCGCAAAAATAAGACAATTGAATACCAAGAACTCAGATGGTCATATAAAAAATATATATAAAAGAATGACAGGGCGACGGCAAATATAAATGCAGTCGGTTTTAAGGCGTATGAGAGTTGATCTTAGGGCGGATTCCCACCACCTTAACCGGTCACGACTAGGGTCGCAAACACTCAACCAACGATTGGATAATGCTGGTTTCACTATCGTCCTCTCGACATCGCGCCGCGCGATCACCAATGTCGAAAGAAGAAAGGCCATGCGGAGCTGTAAAATAAAATGGTGGGGGATCTCTTATTTTTAAAGTTCGCCTTGTCGATCGATAATAATTCACAGCATGTGATCACCCAGACTCCCATAAATCGAATCTTAAAGATTAAGTCTTTAAAGTTTATCATAGAAAATCACTTTCATTAAAATAAACGAAAGTTTACAAAAAAAGAAGTTTTAATAAAACGAATTTAAAAAAAGAAACAGTAATAAAAGTATGTCAGCTTGACATTTAAGTCTAAGTTCACTATCATCCATGTTTTACTTCGGCTAAGAAATCATTACCTAATTATCTTGCCAGAGAAAAGTAATAAATGAAATGATTTGTGAAAACTAAATAATGTTTAAAAAAATCAGATGTTAGTATGGGGTTCTACTTGTAAATTCTTTATTAGAATTATCAATATTGTGTCATTACACTGAAAAAAAATAGTATTGAATCAAGAAAACCTTTGTAATTGACACCAATATTTTCTTGATCCAAGAAATTTTTATTAGTTTGAAGTAAATTTTCTTGGATCAAGAAAATATTGGTATAAAATACGGTCAAGTACATAGGTTTTCTTGATTCAATACTATTTTTCTTTCAATGTATAGAATTGACTACACCATAACATTATCTCGTTCAAGTATATATATTCTAGACTAGTTTAATATTCCTCTGAGTCACTCAGACGTCGTATTCTTGCGTGTCTGGAGAGTCGAAAGTGACACTCAGGCGCCACTAGAGCCTATGCATAAATAAATAAAAATACTTTTATTGTCATAGCTCCACATAAATGGATATGATTCTAAATATTTAGATGATTGAAAAATGATGAATTTTAGATATTTGCTCTAAATTCGAGGCGCAAAATTTAATAAAAACCAAAAAAAAAATTTCAGAGAAGAAGAAACAGAAACAGGTTTGAAAAGACACGAAGAGGCACGTGGCAGATAAATTTTCTTTTAGTACACTGCACAACCCTATGAACTTAGATGAGAATAAACTATCGTCTGCAAGGATCTCGTCTCCTTGAAAGTATAACACCGGTAATGTGGTCTGAATACTTCATAAGGTATAAAGCTCTCTAGACATTTCTGCAAGCATGGTTATCTCACGTCGATATGTTGTAGTAGACAAGGACAACGTGCATGGCTTCCGAAACTACACCTGTGGTTCCACAAAGAAGCAGGTGCAAGTCTTTATTATATATAAGATAGAGGGGAATTACAAGTTGCGGCTAATTAGTGGAGTCTAGACGCAATAACGAAAAACTTCATCTTCTTCAAAGAAGATAAATTTTGGAAAACTCGAATTTTGGAATTAAAATTAAAGTACCGTGATGACATGCATTTAAAATCAAAGGTACAAAGGTCATATAGACGCCTCCTCTAGGTGGCATATACTGCTATCGATCGTGAAAGAACCAACGGCCTATACAGTTTTGAGGTCGTCGTACCGAGTCAAGTTAAACCTTTTGTAAGGTCCTATTTATGTCACTCATACTTACATTTTATAAAGACAATACTCGATTCAATCAATGAATGAATTCAATTTTAAATTACGAGAAAAAAAAGTCTATTTTTAAATTGTATATACTTTTTATACACAGAAAAAATCTAGTCTCATTTTTGCTGTAGTTCAAATTTTTTCTATCATATTAATTAAATTAAAATTCTGATCGTATTAATAATTAAATAGCACTAGAAAATATGAGCACATTCTTGTGGTTTTAGATGAACATTTTAAAACACATACAGCAGGAGATTCTAAAGCGAAAGGAGAAAAAACAATTTAATAAACAGGATGGAATGTGGGCGATGTCAGAAATGATACGATGTCCGGGAAGTTGACCGTCGAATAATTTTTATTGATTTAAGCATATTTTTTTTTATCAATATAAACATTTCTCGAAAAATTCGAATAGATTTTCAATTCCCGCAGCATATGAAGTGGAATCAACTGATCCCAATTCAGGAAATGAACGGCTCGACGTATGTAGGACAATTTCGATAAATCTAGGTTTGAGAGAAGATAGCTTCATTCGATTAAATCCAAATGATGAGCATTGAAAGCTGTGCGTATGAATAAGCATCAATTTTTGATTGAAAAAACTTCTATAGGATGATGATAAACTCCTAATTCAAAATTTTATATTCAAAGAGATATTTGGGTTGCTCTGAAAAGAATCCAATGACCTATAAAACGGATAATTAACTTTTTTTATCAGGTGTTTCCAAAACACCTGCGGCATATCTGGGGGTTCAAGAAAGGAGTTTCGGACTGTGGAGAACAGGTATTACGTAACAGTGCTCTCCGTAAGTCTTACAACGGTAATGGAAGCATCGATTTGGCTTCCTTCTATGGGTAAACCCGATTCTTGCTTCTTATAACGAACATATATAAATGCCGCTCAATTCACATGGATTTGTTTTATAAATACTCGTTCTGTTCCAAATTTTATGCCACTTTTCTAACACGGGAACATATATTACTAATGGATCTTAAAGAAATGAATTATTCGTAATTAGATCCTATTTTAATATAGAAGGAAATTACATTACAACTGCGTTCATTCCTCTACAAGAAATCTAAAATTGAAAACAATTTTAAATTAGTTTTTTTTATTCCCGAATTTGGTCTTGTATTGCATTTTATTAAACCAATTAGGTAAAAATTTGATGAAATATATCTTCGTATTTGTTTGAATGGGATTAAAATTCCACATGTTTTTATGAAATACCTCACAATTGCAATTTATATATAATTGAAGAAGAATTAATTTCCCCCTTTTGAAACATTATCATAATGCATTTAATACTAAAAACTATTTAAAAAATTTAACATTTTCTTTGTTATACACTTTTTTTTTCTCTAGGGACCTTGTGAAAATCAATAAACTACCGCATATCAGGTATCTCTTTTTTTCCCAGAAAGTATTTCCTGGAAGCGACAGAAATAATGGACGCACACGGAATCTGTTGATGCCTCCAGGGAAATTCGAAGAGTCAATGTTAATTTTTAATGACAGTTTCGCTTACGACCATTATTGGAATTCGCGTGATAACTCCCACGCTAAATAAATTTATCAGAATTATTTCAAAAAAAAATCTAACTAATTACTAAATAATCAAAAATTTTTTTTCCATTATTAAGATGTTTTCGATCATATTGATGTTGAGAAAAACTTTCTAAAACTTTGATAAGATCAAGAGAGGATTATGTTGCATGCAAAAATGTAAACTTTTACGAAAACCGTGAAATTCGATAATGATGCGAATCACGCGACTTCTCATGCAAGACAGAGTCTCTCGTGAATCGATTGCCCGACTTACGAAAC